TTAAAAGACCATTTGAATAAAATAGAACTTGAAATGGCTGATGAGGGCCTATTTAATCAGTTTGGTTTGCATAGTAAATGGGGAAGAGGATCAGCTGAGATTGCATCTAGTGAGTAATATACTACAGTCTGACTGCATTCAGTTTACATGGTGAAAATGTATAAAACTCCACAGAGTAAGGCAGAATCCATTAGTAAAGTTCAATTAACATGTCTAGGCCAAGAGCCACCACTCCTACCCCACTGATAAAATTACTTTATACAGATAATGTTACTTGAAGGCTACTGCCTTATAGCATATTTCTTAAACGAGGGTTCCTGCCTATGTAATAATAAGCAAGATTTGATGTATAAGTAGGTCAGTCTGCTAGAACAAATCTCTCTCTTTTAGGTGAGAAAGGCAAGCCAGACCCTCTTTAACAAGGTTTTGTTCTTTGGAGGGAAAGGCAAATAGTTCTCTCTTTGATTTGGCAAAACTGGATACAAATTTGCAATAGTTTTTCTTTTGTGATAGATCAGTGACCTTCAGACTTGTTAATTGTATCATCAATTAATACAAAGAGATATGTCTACTAGGATGCTGCTCCATCTATAGAACTGTAGTGCATTGCAAACATCCTCTGAATTATTCCATTACACACACTTGTTCATGTGTAGTATGTGTCAGACCGTTGTGCCCTATGTCCTTCATGAACAGAAAGTAACATTTGAACTGTAGCTGTGCAATGCCACAAAAGAGTGATGATTGTATTGCTGGCAAATTGTCTATCACCATTCCTATTTTGTTTAAGAAGTATCTGATAATGCTTTGGGAAATACACGGGTTCCTCAAAGCACAGTTGTCAAGCTTGGCTCGGGCCAAAGCTCGTCACCACGATGATTGCCGGAGGCTTGCCGAGTCGTCGCCCGGCTTCACTGAAGCAGTTGAGGGAAGCTGGCCATGCTCCACTTGTTCGGACTGACTGACGGGATTCATGGCGCTGCAGCCGGCGGGCACAATGGACATCAGCAAGGCATCGGCAAGTGATGCCCATCTGATCGAGGACGGTGCCGATAGCCTCCTGAAGCCTCCTGCCTGTAACAGACGGTGAATCGGGACTGGTGGAGGGTGCCACACATTACATGCACTGTGGGTGCAATCTGGTGATGGTCGAGCCATACACCCTGGGGTGACGGGCAATGAGCCAAGAAACCTGAGTAGGAGAGGGGAAGTTGGGTGACCGAGAGGGGCAGGGCTGCCAGAAGTAAGGAACGGGGAAGATAATGACCGGATGGGAGGAATAAATGGAGCGCTGGTGGGAGGGAACGCCCAGCACTAACTTCGTTTCGCCTGCTCGCTGCTTCCTGCTGTTTCCTAAGACTGTGAAGGAATAAATGGCCGCTGTTTCTATGGAATTCAGAGCATTTGCTGTTATTGCCTCATCTGCTTGGTTGTCCAGAGAGTGGCTGAGAAGAACCCTGTAGCTGGGCCATGACTTTGTTTTCATGCACATACAGTTCTTTTCGGGTGAGAAAAGGAAGTCTTCTGGAGATGAGCCATTCCATAGGCATAGGCACTATTTTATTCGGTATTTCCAGCACAGTGTGTGATGAAACCTTGGGAAAATGAATTCAGTGCCACAGCGTGAATGCCCAATAAAAGCTACCACATTAGAATTTCTTTGGGGAAGTATATTTATAAAATATTTACTTCCTTTTTCCCCAAAGATCATAAAGGAGGAACCAGAGAATCTCAGTTTTTAAAAAATGCAACGTTTTGCATTTCTACTTGTACAATCCAAAACAATAGTCTGTGTGTTTTGAAGTAAAAGTACTGTAGTCAGGCTGGACAATCTTATCTTCTGCACTATATTCATGGGCTCTATATAAAAGTAAACCTTCCTTCAAGTCAGGCTTGACTCCTAATAAATTTTTCGATATGGCCACACAGTATTCTTAATTGTAATATAGAACAGTTTGTCATTGCTGTCTTCTCAGTATACTGCAACTTAAAATTCTGGCTTTCGTTTAAGGATCCCTTATTGAAACACTAAGTTAGACCCTGTTTATTTTCTGGGTTGACAAAGATGCTGCCATGTACTGACGTAAATTCTCTAATAATCCCTTCTTCTGAGATGATGTTCCTTAGAGGTCTTTCATCGTAGTACAAACCAAGTGCTTACTTCTGAGCTTAGATAAGGTCAGCCAGATGATGCTATCTGCTGAGATGTACAGTATACTCTATATTCCCCTCCCCTTCTAATGTGCTCTTGTTGCTTATGTTCTTCATAATTTGAACAAGATTTTTAACATTATTAATTTAACTCTGATTTTTTTTTTTACTTTTTACTTTGTTTTTAATTGTTTTAGTCGTGTTTTTATATTGTTTCTATGATGCTGTTTTTAAACAACCCAGAATCACTTAGGTGAGGTAGGCAGGCAGACGGTCAGAGTGATTAATTGATTGATGGATGGATTGATTCAAAACAGTGCCTACTTCGACAAGTACTTTTTGTCTGACTGTATTTTGAATTCCAGAATGGAGACTAGGCCATAAGCAACCTTTAATCCTCCAGAAGTAATTTCTGCTTTATCTTCTTTTTTGTATCTCTAATTTATGTTTTTTTGACAAACAGACAACCTCTGAAAAAAGAATACAAAATTCCATGAATGTCTCAAGGAGGGTGCATCCAAATTTCATTTCAGGACTGCTCATTTCCAAATTATAAGGTGGAGTACACTAGTTAGATGCAAAGCCTATTATTTCAATCTCCTGCCAAAATGAGTTTTCAGAACAGTATATAATATATATCTTCCCTTAAATTAGTGAATGCTTCCCTTTTGGCTTCATGTTTAAACAAACAGATGAAACAGTAGGAGAGATCCTACTCCTGGATAAATTATTATCCCTTTTTGGCAAAAATGAATTGAAGAAAAAGAAGAACTGGATATGATTGGTATGTATCCTGTGTGCTGAAATAATTCTGGTGTTGGCCCTGAAATATTATTTAGAAAAGAATGGGAAATGAGAAAGAAAAGTTGTAGGGTTACAGGTTTATATATTTGGGAGTCATGGATCAGAAGGACTGAGCAAAGAACTTCCCCTCCCCCTCCCCTCCCCGCTGTTCTATTATATGAGGAAAGCGGGTAATAGTTGAGGGTTTTCTGTTTTTTAATAAACATGCATTTGTTTCAAAGGCATACCCCCATTCATATTCCAGCATAGGAAAGAAAATAAGCTCAGAGACAGGAAACCAACTCCAAAGGTATAAGCCTGGTGTAACTAGCTACTCTACCACATATTTTTGGAAGGGTATAATATAATGTAGAGATGATATGGACTTTAATTTTTAATTAGGAACATTCTTTGGCTGTCCAGTGAACTTCTGATTTCTTTAGCAAAATACTTACTGGAAGAGTCTAGTCCATACTGTCATTTTATGTTTAGTAAATATTCACAAAACTGTAATGTTAATAAATAACTAAGTGCTAATCTCAGTTGCAGTTTTACTTGGTTTCATTTTTGAAAGGACAAGGAAATGCCTCTCATATTGAGCCAAGGGAATTTTTATACATCTTTTGTGATAGGCAAAAATATTTGAAAAATTATTTACCCCTTTCTTTCATAAGTTGATTATAATATATAAAAACAATTATTAACCATGAACACAATCTTGTTATGTGTAGAAAAGAGTTCTTGACATTATCGCAATCAGATTATGTGAACAGTGCAACTTTAACTTGGAATCAGTGGAAATAATTTGGTATCACAAGTTAAACAAGAAATGTACTTGCTTGACATTTTATTGTGATTGGCATGGGTAAAGCAAGAGAGAGAAAGAGAGCAGAAATACAAATATAATTGTTATATTTGAACTTAAAATATTTTATAGATGTGATTTCCAGGGCACAGGATCTTAGAAATATATACGACAGTCCTGATTGAAATTTAAAAAAAAGGAAGGCATATCACCTTATGTGGGTGATTGAGCCAGTATTTTTCATTTTTAAGTGATTCTCCATTTCTATAAGTAAAAACTACAGAAGGTGAATATATCCAAAGAGTTAGATAATTAGGAGAAAATGGAAGAAAAGTTATGCAACTTAATATCTGGAAAAAATGTGGAGATATATTTTATTAAGTTATTCAACACTTGCATAACTAGGAACCTTTTGAGAAGAGCAATTGCAACAATTTGCTGATTTTCCTTTTAATAACTAAGTACTGTGTTCCAGATAAGAACATACTGTAGCAGTAGAAAATTATTTTCATATTTTTGTTTATGTGGAAAATGCCACCTGCCCAGTGCTTATGAGAAGTGCCAGCAACTTTAGTGCAGCTATAGCACTACCAATGTTTGTGTGTGCACCTTTGAATCAGTCTTGACTTCTTGTGGCTACTTGGACAAGTATTTGCGGCTTTCTTGGCATTATTTTTGTAGGTGGTTTGCCACTGCCTTCTTCAAAATGAGACTCAGTGGGAGAGTACCACACTGGGAGTGGCTACTAGATTAATAGCTTCCCCATCCATCTTTTATTCTCATATTGCTGTATTACTGTTTTCGTTTTCATTGTTCATTCTATTGTTCCATTACTTTACTATTGCTGTGTTTACACTTCTTTCCATTTCTACATGTTTATTGTTTTAGCTACCTAAGAGTATCCGGCATCAAGATAGGTGGCAGATAAATTTAACAAATCAATAAAATCATGCAGCTGGCCTAAGGCAGAAATAGAACTCACAATCTCAAGGCTTCTACCTTGGTGTGCTAAACTACATCATCCAACTGGGTCTCCTTTTATCTTTCAGTCAACCAGAATTTTCTTTCCTTCCCCCCCCCTCCCCCCCAAAAAAAAGTTTTTTATTTTTTTATTTTTCACATCTTCTCAAGTGAGCAATGTGGTTCCAGATTACAACACTTGTAGATAGTCATACTTTCATTTCCATCAATCTTATATAATATAACTATATATAACTATAACTATAACTATATATAGTTATAGTTATAGTTATAGTTATAGTTATACAATCCTAAAATATTTCCCAGCAAGTTTTAAACTTAAAGTTTCCCCAATCTAAAATACCAATATACATTCCCATGTGGTATCCCCCTTACATTATCCCTGACCCTTATCTCTAAACCTCTCGGCCTTATCATTTTTTTTAAATTTTAGCCAGCTTTCCCTTTTCTAGGTCTTCTTTTTTCTTTCTAATATTATTTTTCTTTCCCTCTGCCTATCAGCCATATGTTCCCCCACTCTATTCAGTTCTTTTGGGGGGCGGGGTTTCTTCTTGTATAATTTCTTCTTCTCCTGCTTAGTCTTGGAAGCATTTTCTCTTTTATTTGTTGTCTCTATCGTCAGTGTCTCTATTTTTAGTCCTTTTATGTCTTTTGGCAATGGCCCTTGTTCTCCATATTCATCTGGGCTGCTGTCTTTCTCGTTTAACTCATCCTCTCTGGGCTTTCTTTGTTCTTCTGCGAGCTGCAATGCCATTACTTTACCAGCAATTATGTCCAACAGTCTCATTTTTTCTTTTAACATACCTCTCACAGTTGGCAGTTCCAACTTAAATTCTTTGCTTATTTCTTCCATTTCTTTAATCTGTTGAGTTAATCTTTGTTTTATTAAGAGTCGATTTTTTCTGTGATAGTCCTTGCCAAAAATGTCCGTTTATCTCACTTTCTCTTTCTTCTGTTTTCTTGTCACAGTCAATCTCAAACAATCCCAAAATATTATATTCCTTTATACTTTATTGTAGTCTCCACTTTTAAAAAAATTTCCGGGGTTCATGTTGAATTAGTAGTCTTTTATTCCATTTCTTCTCTCTTTCAGATATTTATACGACCAGTAATTTTATATAAAAGCATAAAAGAGGAAAATCTTTAACCATTAGGTGGTGCTCTATATTGCTTTTTTTTCAAGGTTCTTTTGTTTTTAATTCTCTTTTCCATAGTATTAATGTTAAATTTTATCAATTTCAAATAAGTCCAGCATTTTATCCAATGCCTAATTAGTGCCCGATTCTGTATGTTATTCCAAATTTAATCTCTGATTTCATATAGTTCTTATTATTTCTGGTTTTTAATTTACCTTATATTTTCCTCTTATTTCACATTCGCCGCTACCACTCTTCCAAATGAGGGCTCTTTCTTTATGCTTTTCGGGGTTATCAGAAAAAATATCCAAAGTCTTTTCTCCAGTTACATGCCGCTCACCACTTCCATGCTCTAGCACAAACTTAAGTCCCGGCAGCTTCCCATCTTCAAGACAGCAATTAAACTGCCGCTTCTCCCTGTCTTCTAGAGGAGTATACCAAGCCAGGGAGGGGAGATGCGGCTCCCCTCAACCCAGATGGTGGTCTCCCCTCTTCCCCCATCCCTACAAGTTGGGTCAGATGGTTCCGGTCCCTCAGAGACCTCTCCAACAGGGCAAGCATGAATCAAAGCCACGCACAATCACGGTCTCTGGTCTGTCTTTGATGGAAGCGCCACTGGAAGTCAACCAGAATTTTCCATCACAGTTTTCAGTTGCTCGGACCTTTGTCAATTCATCATTGGCAGAAACATATATTTTGTAGCCTTCAATTGTTGCAAGTTACTTGACAAGTCTATTTGATCAAAATTTGTGCTCAAAATTTCTATTGCTAAGCAAGACAGTTGTTAAGTGAATTTTATTACCTTCCTAGCCACAGTTAAGTGAATTGCTGTGGTCATTAAGTTAGTAATACTTCGTTAAGTGAATCTGACTTCCCCACTGACTTTGCTTCTAAAAGGGTCACAAAAGGTGATGCCAGGAATAAATGCATGCTAGTCCCTGTGGGATGCTGCAACAATTGTAGATGTGAAATACAATCATAAGTTGCTTTTTCAGTCCCATTATAAATTCAGACGGTCACTAAACTAATAGTTGTAAGACGAGAACTATTAGTAGTGTTGTTCTGCCCTGCAAATGCAATTAATTGTATAGAATTAATCCTGTTGTGCATGTTTTTCTAAAATTATAATTCCTCCCCAAATATGGGTAAAATGCAATTTTCTCTAGGATATTTTACTTCTTTATGTAACAATGCCAGTTCCAGTGTCTGCTGTGATAGACTTCGTAGCATCAGATTTAACTTTTTAACAAAAACATGAATGCTGGCTTTCCCATGTAATGGTAAATTGGACTGAAAGTATAGCTTTGAAGTATTCAGTGTAGTGAAATAAGATTCATTTATTCCACAGACAGCTTAATCTATTCTGTAAAACTTCCGATGATGGAGCACCCGCTATTTCAAGAGAACTGGTTAATAGTTCTCACTGATAGAAAAGTTCTCCTTAATTCTCTTCGATAAACTTCCATTTCTTATTTCTTGTCCTGCCTTCAGGCATTGATAGCCCCCATTTCTCTGTGACAGTCCTTCAAATATGGGAAGACTGCTAACATGTCACCCTGGTCCTTCTCTTCATTAGACTAAACTAATCCAGTTCCCACAACCGTTCATCATATGCTTTAGCCTCCAGTCCCCTTATCATTTTTGTTGCTTTTCTCTGCACTCTTTTCTAGAGTCTTGACATCTGTTTTGTACCATAGTGACCAAAACTGAATGCAGTATTCAAGAGTGGTCTGTCTAATCAGTGCAGTAAAGAGCAGTGTTAACGCTGCAAGTGATCTTGATACTATCCCTCTGATGATACAGCCAAGGACTGCGTTGGCTTTTTCTGCAGCTGCAGCATGCTACTGGCTCATACTTAAGTGGTTGTCAACTAGGACTCTAAGATCCCTCTCACAGCTACTGCTCTTGAGCCAGGTATCAACTATTCTATGCCTGTGCATTTGGTTTTTCTTGCCTAAGTGTAAAACCTTACTTTTCTCACCAGTGAATTGCTTTTTGTTGGATAGGGTTCAGTGTTCAAGTCGGTCAAGATCCTTCTGGATCTTGGGCCTATCTTCTAAAAGGCAGTTTCTCAGTGCCCCGGGATCTTTAAAAGATACAGTTCAGTGGTTCTGACATCATGTCTGCCACCTCCTTCAGAACACTGGAATGTAATCCATTTGGTCTTGGTGGTTTGAGCTAGTGAATAGGCGTTCTCTTATCATTTCCCTGCCTATTTTGACTTGGATTTTTAATCTGTCTTTTATGGCACTGCTTTTGATAGATTGGACTATTTTTTTTTCCTTTTGTGTAAAGACATGCAAAGAATGAATTAAAAAGTTCCATTTTATTTCTCCACCTCCCTGCCACCTCCTTGCCATCTTCTCTCAATCATTTCCTTGACTTTTGTTTTCTTGTTTTTTACATGCTGAAAGAAAAAAAAACTTTTGATATTTGTTGCAAGTCTTAGTTTATTGTCTGTCCTCTGTCATAGTCTGTCATCTGCACCTCTATAACTGTCTGGTTTGGTTCTGCAACCCAACAGGACAGACACAGACTTCAGAGGATAATTAGGACTGCAGTAAAAACAATTACTACCAACCTGCCTTCAATCGAGGACCTGTATACTGCACGAGTCAAAAAGAGGGCTGTGAAAATATTTACAGACCCCTCACATCCCAGACATAAACTGTTTCGACTCCTATCCTCGAAATGACACTATAGAGCACTGCACACCAGAACAACTACACACAAGGACAGTTTTTCCCTGAACGCTATCACTCTGCTAAACAAATAATTCCCTCAACACTGTCCAACTATTTACAAAGTTTGCATTACTATTACTATTAATCTTCTCATCACTCCTTATCACCCATCCCCTCCCACTTGTGACTGTATGACTGTGACTTTGTCACTTGTATCCTTACGATCTGTATTGAGTGTTTCCTAGTATGATTTGATTGTTTATTGTACCCTATGACTATTATTAAATGTTGTACCTTATGATTCTTGATGAATGTATCTTTTATTTTATGTACACTGAGAGCATATGCACCAAAGGCAAATTCCTTGTGTGTCCAATCACACTTGGCCAGTAAAGAATTCTGTTCTATTCCATTATTCTGAGCCTTAACTTTCCTGACTTTATCTTTGCAGATTTGGGATATTTGCTGATATTGTGCTTTCATTACACGTTCCTCTTTCCATTTTTTGTATACTTGTCCTTTTTGTCTCTCAGTTTACCAGAGAGTTCTTTATGCAACCAGGCCAGTATGGTAACCATCAGGGAAAAGGTGTCCCACAAAAGGAATGGGAGTAGAGAAAGCATCTTACCCAGTTCCTTGTAAAGTAAATGTGGGGAGGAGTGCTTTCAGGTCTGCAAGATTCTGTTACTTTAACCATATAGGTAGCATTCATGGTTTTGGTTTCCTTTCTGGAATATTTTTAAGGCCTGATAGCAAGAACAGTGTGAAAAAAAAAATGAAAATATGTAGTTCTTGATAACTTCCTCTTTTTTGTCAGTTTTCTGCTGCACTTAAACTTTTCTTCTGTGCCATTTGCGGAAACTTCCTCATATTCCTCATATCTATTCTAATCAAGTAAGAAATAGCATTTTCTGCCCTCTTGTGTAATGAAGACCTCTGTTTGGCATTATTTGCAATGGGCAGAGTCCTCAAATGTCATGCTGAGGATACTGGAATTTTCTTTTTACCTTTTGGAATCAAGGTCCTGGGTTCAAATGTAGATAGGTTCCCCTTAGAACACACAAGGCAAGTCACTTGGAGCAGGGATTATATTTTGACAGCACTATGTGCAGTAAGTCAATGAAAAGGTAGGCTACACAGAAACCTTTTTTTTCTTTTTAATTTGGAACAATTGGTATAAATGGTTAATAAACAGAGCTAAGAAGTGAGACAAGAAACCTAACTGGAATAATCCTTAAGAAAGTAAAACATAATTTTGTAAATTATACAAAGATATAAGAATAGTAATCATAGTTAAAGCTATTATTTAATATTAGACAAATGTAATATAATGTATTAAAATATTTAAAACAAGAACCTGTATAGATGCCAAGAACGCTGTTGATACCATGATGTTTTATGATGTAATAAAAGAAACTCAATAAAAATATATTTTAAAAAAGAGTAAGAATGTAGTAAGAATGAGCTTTAATCGTGAGGTGTGCATGTAGGCGTGTACATTGAGCTTTTCTTGCCCTGGGGATGTGTAAAGTCTGGAGAGGAAGTTTATTTCTTGCCCTAAGAACAGGGTATGCTGTTCTTAGATGTGTAAATCTTCTTCTCTATGCGTGGAATTTTTATGAGGGATGGGGATTGGCCGTGAGGATCTGCTGTTGAAGAGCACTACTGTGATTTAGGAGGTTTCCCAGGTACAGCCGCCTGAGCTTTGTCAGTTTCAGGTTACCTAGGATGAAAAGGGTTTCATCTGTTTTTATAACTGCATGTGGATCAGGACAGATTTTTGCTTGCAGAATGAATGGAAAGGGGGGAAGGGTTGATGGCTTGGCTGGGAGGGCGGTTTACCTTCCAGCATACTTTTAAAAAGTAGTTGGCATATTCAGCTGATGATTAGTCAACTTCCCAACAGAAATGTTTTCACTCAAATGCATCCTCTAGTAGCTCTCTTCATTTTCAGCTGCCAAAAAGAGGGGAGAAAATACTATACGGCTTGGCCAAGAGATGACTGTGCTAGGTTACATGAGAGAGGAGAACAGCCAAGCCATACTTTGGACTAAATTGTTTCTTGGATGACTCATTTCTACTAACTGTTTCAGTTATTTTTAGCCATTGATTCCATCATAATATTCAGTTCATTACCTGTACTTAATTTTTTTAAAAGATGGAGAGTTTTTTTCTCACATTATTTGCTACTCATCACTTGCCAATTTTTTCATTCTTCTGACTTTTCCATCCATAATGTATTCAGCTAGTTATTTTCATTTATCCTAATGAGCCAGAACATCTACAATTGTGTTATTTTACACACACACACATGTTAACTTATGTTAGCTCTTTATATAACACAAATGTTTAACTTATGTTAGCTTTTTATAGAGACATTATGTATAATGTCTCTATAAAGTGCCAGGACTGATTCTGAAAATTCTGAAAAAAACCAGTCACTGAAATACTCCTATTATTTTTCCTTGTCTTGAGTCCTGATTTCAGATTTGTGCCCATTAACTCTTTTGTGCAAAGTATGTCTGTTTGTCCAAAGGAGTGTTGCTGGCAGCTGATGGGATATATCGCATTAGAGGTACCTCCATATGCTCTTCCAGGCCTATGATGTGCTAATGGGGTAGGGACAAAGTAAATCTCTGGTACCCAAGGTTGCATTATTGTCCTGTTATTTCTTGCTGCTTGTGAGGAGATGCTTCAAGTTGTATAGGTGCCTGTTTCCAAGCATGGGCTTGCTACCAATGCCTGAGAAAATTTAATGTCGTTGTTCAGTATGGGCTATGCAGTGGTCTTCAAACTTGGCAGCTTTAAAACTTGTGGTCTTCAACTCCCAGAATTCCTCCTTCAGTCATGTTAGCTCAGGAATTCTGGGAGTTGAAGTCCACAAGTCTTAAACTTGCTAAGTTTGAAGACCCTTGGGCTATAGCTTACTAATAATGTGTTCGAGTGCTTTGAGCTATTTATGATCAAAATAACTGTCCCCAAGCACTGTGATTTCTGGATTCTGTCTTATTTCTGGATTTTCCATTGGAGAATTTCTACAAAATATTATCTCCCCCATAATCTTCTGCTCTCGTTCGACTTTGTCTTGGCATTTACCTGGAGACTAGAGTTAGTATAAAATCCACACCAAGTAAGTTATAATAAAAAAGTAGTTGGAGGATGAAGGTGACCACGCTGGTAAAGGGTGACGTGGGTGATAAAAGATGACCTAGCTTTTCATGTTTTTTGAGGTTCATGATATTGGTAGTAAGTCCTAAGTCTTAATATTTAAATAATGTGTAAACGCATGTTATGTGTATAGGCATAATGCCTTCTAG